AGAGGCAAGCACACCTGGGGCAACAAAGGGTACCAGACCACTTCGTACCCATACAACAACCAGCCATACGCGACCTGGGGACCAACCCAATTCGCCAACCCCGCCATCCCCTCGATGCCTACAACCCCAGGACCCTCGTTCAAGGGCGACACACCCAAAGGAAAGAAGGGGTCCGGGAAAGGCAAGAAAGGCACCAAATCCCACGGGAAGAACAAGGCGCGTTAGGGACAGCACGGCCCAGGGGACCAGTCCCCTGGAGCCGACCCGGCGCGTTGCCTCCATCTTACCAGACAACTCATACAACACACGCCCATTATCCTGATCTCAGTTTTCGACGGGATCGGCACAGTGTCACTTGCCCTGCACCAACTGGGCGCCAACGTCTCCCACTGTTTCCGGTGGGAAACCGATCAGTCCTGCAATCAGCTACCTCATTCACTCTTCCCCACGACGCACATGGGCGCCGTAGAAGATTTTGACATCGAACAACTGGCTGCGATCATCCAGGACATACCCAATCACGAGAGACACATTATCCTCTTCACCGGTGGCCCACCGTGCAAGGACTACTCCAACATTAAACAACACCAACCGGGCCGGGCCGGCTCACAGGGCAGCCTCTTCGACACCGCACTCTCCATCCGCGACGACATTCAGAACAGATGGCCACATCAATCGCTCACCCTGCTAGAGAATGTCGTGCCTCACCCCGAGGTACGCGACGACTTCGACCAGCTGTCCCACTCCATGGGCCTACGCCCAGTCCTGATCGACGCGGCCGACGGCCAAATCATCTCTCGTCCCAGAATCTGGTGGGCCTCGGTCGATTGGGAATCCTTGCCTGCCACATTGAGCAGGCATACACCTTGGCAACTCTCCCTCGACACTCAGCTGTTCCCACCGGTGCTCTTCAATCCCATTGCAGCCGAACTACAACCAGACTGTCACATCCGGGACTTCGACCCGCCGAGTGTCCTAACACACGGACAACTCTTCCACTGCCTTACCACCCAGGCCAGTACGGACGAAGGCCGCCCACCACCACGCAGCCAACAACTACCAGACGACACATGGCAACGGTGGCAAGCCGACCACAAACAATTCGCCCCGTGGCAATACCAACAGAAATACCTGGTCCGGAAACACGGACACGACTGGCAAGTCGCAACACCCGAGCACCGCGAAGCAATGATGGGATTCCCGCGCGGCTGGACGGGACCACACAACACCGACCGGACCAGGAACACCATGCTGGGGAACTCCTGGCATGTGCCCACAGCCATGTGGATCCTATTCCTTTTGCTACTACAGCCAGCCTTCGGAATTCCCCCGCCCACGCAGCGGGTACGTCGCGGATCCCTCGGAATGATGGTCGACCTCTGGCTTCACAACCCACGACCATGGGGACCACCTCCGAGAGCATCGGAAACGCTACATATGCCACAGAACGACTGGCAGGACCACTTGACCTGGGCCAAACACCACGCTACCTCGCTGCAACAGCCCCAGCACTGCGACCCGACCATTTTGTGGGCCATCGCAATGCAAAGGACCATACCACAACTGCCACAACTACAGCACAACGTGTTACTCGACATCGCGGACCTTCGCGATGACCTGACTACAGATACACTTGCATGGTTCGAACAGCTGCCCCCACACTGCCAGCGAGCCTATCGACAACCGAAGATGATCACTCAGGTACCACTCATGACACACTTGCTACATTTGCTTAACTACCCACAGGCACAACTCCTGCACGAGGAACTCTCTCTAGGCTTCGACCTCCTGGGGCCTCTGCGACCCGGAGTCAATTGGCACATTCGCCACGACCACAAATACCTGGACCCATGTGACCTTGCAGAACTCAGGTCATTCAACAAAGCCTACATCCAGCGCAAATTACAACAACACAAGATCGACGACCACTGGACTCTTATGGCCACCGAAATCGCGGGGGAAGTGGCCCAAGGACGTATGGCCGGCCCCTTCGAGGCACCGACTCATTGGACCTCTCGCACAGTACCCCTGCACCTTTTCCCCCACACCAGCCGGCTCCTTCCTATCCCACATCGCGATCCCATTGTGGCAGTCGCATTCAGCATACAACAGACCGGATCGGACGGAAAACCCAAAGTCCGGAGAGGAGAAGACTGGCGCCGCAGCGGCCACAACCAGACGTGCTCTATGCACGATCAACCCTACCATCACACACCCGACCACTACATCCAATGTGCGAGACAATATCACGACGACGCACACCCGCTACATGTGTGGGGACACGACCACGACGGCGCCTACCGTCAACTGCCCCTCGCACAACCGGAGGTAGCATACGTGCTACTCATCACACCCGACGGCCCAACTCTCTGGCACCACCACGTGCTCCTGTTCGGCTCCGCTGCCAGCGTCTGGGGCTACAACCGCTTCGGCGATGCACTCACAGCACTCGCCCGCGTACTAACACTCACACCTGCCCTGCACTACGTTGACGACTACGGGGCCATACAACCCAGTCACATCGCGACCAGTTCCTTCTCCTCATTCAGCAAGCTCAACTCACTACTTGGATTTCATATGAAGACATCCAAGGAACAACCACCGGCGCCCTCTCACAAAATACAAGGGGTTTATGTCGACCTGTCGGCAACACACGCAACCCTTCGACCGTGCCCAGACCGAGTCCGTACACTGTCACACACCCTGTCTCAGTGTCTCGAACAGGGAGGTATGTCGAACGACACCGCCCGACGCACTGCCGGCAAGTGCAACTTTGTCACCGGACACCTGTTCGGTCGAGTAGGGCGATCGGCGTTAGCCGCCCTATACCACAAAGCACACAGCACTTCCGACCGGATCGACAAACCAACTCGAGCTGCCATTCTGTGCCTCCTGAATATCCTGCAACATAGCTCACCCCGCAGCGTCCCACTGTCCACCAGGCCCAGAGACCTCTCAATCATATACACCGACGCGTTCTGCCGGCAGGGCGAGACGGTCTGGCGTGTCAAGGACGCAGGGGATCAGGATTGTCTGCCACCCGATTGGTCGCACGACAACGGATGGGCAGCGGTGCTGTTCAGCCCACAGGCACAAAGGACCCGCGTGGTCTCGGGCGCACTACCCCCTAACTTACTCCAACAAGTGAGTACTGGCACCAACGCCATTTATTTCCTCGAGGCATGGGCCGCGTTGATCGCTCCTGTGATCTTTCGACCATGGATCACTGACACATACCTCCAGTTGTGCGACAACGAGGCGGCCAAACACGCCATCAGACGGGGAGTTGGGAAACACCAACCACTAAACTGCCTGCTCGGTGCACATTGGACATGGCACAACCGACAGCAATTGCAGTTGCATATTGCCCGTGTGCCCACACATGCTAATATAGCCGACCCCTTCAGTCGACATGACATGTCTCTCGCCTCGAAGCACCACTGGCAGATTCTGGAACCCCCCATGCACGCTCTACATAAACGAACGTGCAAAATCATTGGCGATATTGAGTTCGCCCATGCCGTCGGATTTGACGACATAAAGGAACTCCAACAGTTCCACAGGAATCATTCCTCCTGAACCCGACTTGACTTCCACGTCCCGTGAGAATCTTGTCCACAGTAAGGAGACTTGATCGATGTAAGGATGCCTTCAACGTGCCTTTTGTCTAGGTCGTTCGCCTTCGGCTTCACCTTCGACGGGAGTTGACCTACGACGGGAGAACGTCCACTCCCTCTTCGAAACTCTGCTGTACAACATTTTGGGTTTGCATGCACTTGCATTTGCTTACCTTTTATTTTGTTGTACTTTACTTTCGAGTCAGTGGTGTCTGAGAGACACGCACACCGACTCCAGAGATTGAAACAGATCGACCAACAGGTACGATCCCACCCACTTGAGGCAGTGCGGTGAAAATAAATCGACCGACGCTGGTTGCCGTCGTACTCTCTGGAGCGGTTTGTTGTTGCGGTTAACACTTGTGTTAAAAGTAACAACCGATAGCGGAAGGCATTTGAATCACACTCAGATTCGAACCTTGAGTGCCTGCAGGATGACACTGCTTGATTCATGCTCCGTTCGCCATTTTGGCGAATTAGCCAAATTTTTCTTTCCCACCCACCCTCACCAGTTTTCACTGCATGCCCTCAGTACCTGTCGGTCTGCATTTATAGCATCGAGTGAGAGGACGGGAGAACGTCCACTCCCTCTTCGAAACTCTGCTGTACAACATTTTGGGTTTGCATGCACTTGCATTTGCTTACCTTTTATTTTGTTGTACTTTACTTTCGAGTCAGTGGTGTCTGAGAGACACGCACACCGACTCCAGAGATTGAAACAGATCGACCAACAGGTACGATCCCACCCACTTGAGGCAGTGCGGTGAAAATAAATCGACCGACGCTGGTTGCCGTCGTACTCTCTGGAGCGGTTTGTTGTTACGACCAACCCCGAATCGGCTTTAGGGAACTCAAAGCGAGCTTGGACAGGCTCCCTGAAGGATGCAGGACAATGCGAGCCAGTCCAAACATACCAAAGAGATGATGTCAATTTTCGAGAATCAAGTGGTTTTTGGATGTATCTGTGCAGGGTGTTCTTTTTCAACAGCGGCTACAATTCAGGTGGTTCAAACGCTTTGCCCTTAAACAAACCCCGGTGGCCCCTGGCGGGTGAGGGGATGTTGGTGATTTCATGAGTTGCGGTTTGGTTCGTTGGCTTGGAACCCCATAGTATGGTTCAACCCCTGAAACTCTATTACCCTCCCAGAACCCCACAGGAGGGTCTGGAAGATGATTTTTATTTAAAAGGGACCTGGTGGGCTCCGTGGACAGGGTAACTGCTGCGCAATTTCATGCAATTTCTGCTTGATTCGACGGGATCTCCAGTGGGTTTCCTACATTTTCCTTTTTGGAACCTTTCAAAGGGGGCAGTTTCAATGGACGCCACCAGCAAGTCGATCGACCTGCGGGGAAATCCAGGGACTGTCCCGCGGGAAACCCGAGGATGGCCAAGCTGCCGGAGGGCCAAGCCCAGCTCTACGAGTGCAAGGAGGTCGGGACGCGCTCGTGTTACACATGGAACTGTTCGATGTGTGTTGTTGTTGTTGTTGTTGTTGTTGTTGTTGTTGTTGTTGTTGTTGTTGTTGTTGTTGTTGTTGTTGTTGTTGTTGTTGTTGTTGTTGTTGTTGTTGTTGTTGTTGTTGTTGTTGTTGTTGTTGTTGTTGTTGTTGTTTGTTGTTTTGTTGTTGTTGTTGTTGTTGTTGTTGTTGTTGTTGTTGTTGTTGTTGTTGTTGTTGTTGTTGTTGTTGTTGTTTGTTGTTGTTGTTGTTGTTGTTGTTGTTGTTGTTGTTGTTGTTGTTGTTGTTGTTGTTGTTTGTTGTTTGTTGTTGTTGTTGTTGTTGTTGTTGTTGTTGTTGTTGTTGTTGTTGTTGTTGTTGTTGTTGTTGTTGTTGTTGTTGTTGTTGTTGTTGTTGTTGTTGTTGTTGTTGTTGTTGTTGTTGTTGTTGTTGTTGTTGTTGTTGTTGTTGTTGTTGTTGTTGTTGTTGTTGTTGTTGTTGTTGTTGTTGTTGTTGTTGTTGTTGTTGTTGTTGTTGTTGTTGTTGTTGTTGTTGTTGTTGTTGTTGTTGTTGTTGTTGTTGTTGTTGTTGTTTTTTTTGGGGGGGGGATGTGTTTTGTTGTTTGCCTCTTCTTCTTTTCTTTTTTTTTTTGGGGGGGGGGTCCTGGTTAGGGACCATTTCCCTGTCCTTTTTCCATGTGAAAAGGGAGGGAGGGTAAGTCACTTCCCCTTGTTTCCTGTACTGTCCCTTGTTTGGGGTCGTGGGCAACCCCAACGAAAGGAGACCAACAATTCCCCTATGTTTTGAGACAGCCCATATTATCATTCTCGGAGTTGAGCTTTAAACTTCCCAAACAACAAGTTGCAACTTGCTTTGGGATCCGATTCCGCTCAGGAAGTGATTCCTTGTGCGGCTACAACTGGAAACCTAGGGGCCAACCCAGTTTCATTGTCCATGTCATTTTGTTGAAACCTAGGGACTGATCCATAGAGCCCCCTTGTGATCTGGGAAAACGGGTTGGATGTGCTTCCACCTGTTCCCCCTCTTGGTCCTGTTTTCGTGGTCGTCTGATTTTGTATTTGTATCCTTTTGTCATCTAGCAGGGGTTTGGCTAAACCGTTTTCCGTGTATGAGTTTACTTTGGGACCCTTGGGTCGACGTCAAAAGTCAAAAATTATCCAGACTTATCTTCACCAACCATGTTAGAGAGAACTCCGCCAAGCATCCCCAAACAAAAAAGCAGCCTAGAGAAACATGCCTTGGGTATGTTTCCACTTACCAGGGTTCCATTTTGGGTACACCTTTTTGACCCAGAGCCATTTGAGGACTGGGAGAAGAGCCGGGTAATGCTCTTCCGCTTCGCGGTTCAGCCCTCCATCCGGACCCTCACGGTGGGAGCCCTGTCGGGGCCATGGACGCTTTCGGTTGCCCCCAGCCTCAAGTCAGCTGGTTACGTCCCAGCAAAATGCCATGCTGAATGTGAAGCTGTTGGTTTGTGGCTCTTCCATTTATTGGCAAGCGAGCTTCTCGTGAGATACCATTTGTGGAGGTGCCTTTTTTGGGACACCTTGCGGCCCTCCATGTGAATTTGCGGGGGAAATGTTAAAGCCACGGCTGCTTCAACTGCCTCTGTGTTAGGTTTTTGGGGCTTCTCTTTGAAGGGGTGGGGGAATTGGGGCTGGGGGGCTTGCTGGTTTCGGCCACTGGGAGGGGATGAATGATCCCATCCCATGGCTTGTTTCCCAGTTGACGAGTTCCCAGGCTTTCTTGGGGTTGATCCTCCTGTCCCATTCTTTGGAACTATCCTATCCTTCTTTTGAACACAATCAGGCCTGTTTGTTTGGGTTTGCGGAGGTATGCTATAGAAGGATCCATGGAGCATTCACTGACAGGCTAGCCAAGCCATTTTCGAGAGGGGATCCCGGAAACCGGGGATTTGAAAGAGAGGCCTGCTTGCCGCCAAGCAAAGCAAACGCATAGCGCGTTCGTACGCGGAAAGTGTGACAAACTCCCTTGAGTTCCTAGACTTTACACTTGTTGGGAAGACCATGTTGGTGGTAAACAAGAAGTTTAGACTTTGTTTCGGCCAATCTACGCTGCAAGTGAGATCACTGATTGTGTTGATAATCATATGCTGGTCAGCTTTCCATTTGCTCAGATTCTGACGCAAGGAAAAGGCAAGCAGGGCCTCATCATAGACTATGCCTTGCCCAAGAACCACAAGGGCATTCTCGAGTTGCCTGACGACTTTCCGGTGGAGATGCGGTGCTTGTGTTCACACTTCGGGTGCAACGTCTACCACGAGACTCAGTTGCCCAAAGCCAATCGACCTTTTGACCTGTTGGGTCCGATCACCTTGGTCAACTTTTGTAGTTGCCCAAAAGGCGATCACCTCAATATTGCTGGGTCTTTTTGTCTGGGGGCCAGTGAGGAGAGCATGATGCTCTCGACCGGCGTGGACGTCCACGAGGTCCACGACCGGGTCGCGAAGCTCATCGAGGCCGCGGGGGGCAAAGTCCCCGCGGAGCACGGCCACGGCACGGAGTACGAGGCGCCCAGCGATACGAAGCAGCGCTGGCAGCGCATCGACCCCAGGAATGTCATGAACCCCGGGGTGGGCGGCAGCTCTTCTTTGAGGAACTACGCCTGAGAGAGAAACATGTGCTCAGAGTCGCAGTGCTCAGAGTGAGCCGAAGATCGAGGGCGTCTGAGAGGCGCCACTTTTCACCTGAGTTGTTTGAAGGTCTCGGCGCTGTTTGAAATCTGACACTGAAGCGCCTGCGGAAAAATGGCCAAAGCCAACAGCACTCAGCAATGCATCTTGCTGTTCTGGCAAGTGGGGCAATCCTCCTGATGTTCACCCCTGATTGGCAACCTTGTGAATCAAGACCTATATCAAGACTCTCCCTTTCCCCCGGTTCAGGGCCAACACTAGTGAAAAGGGGCCTAAACGGGGCCCACAAGGTTTGGCATGCTTGGCGCACCAGGTTTCGACTACAACAGACGGTGCCAACACTTCTGCCATTGCCAGCTCTCTTCCAGCTTCCTTCACAGTCTTAAGGGTAGCCCCTTTCCGGGAAAACAGCAAGTATCAGCATATGAATGCCTGGTTTGACAAGCTCAAGCCCAAGTCGGGAGAGCCTGAAGCCCGGATGTTTGTTTGTTTTTCTTCCAGGGTGGGGGGGGGGCGCGTCCCTAAAATACGTTGTTGTTTTTTCAGGTGTTTTTCTTTTCTCTGGACCTTGTTAACGTTGGGGGGAGGGGTTGATGAATCAGGAGAAAAACTTTGCTCGTACTGAGCTCCTGTGAGTTGTTTGCCAGCTCTTCGCCAGGCAGCAAGCTTTGCACTCGCCCTCCCTCCCAAAAGAAAACAAAAAACAGAAACCGGGGAGGGGGAGAAAAAAAACGCCAGCGAAGTGTGCGAGAAGTCCAGGTCCAAAGTCGTGACTTCGGGGTGGGGATTTGACGTTTGCTCTGAGTCGCTCGCGGGCTGCAGCGTCTCACTCCCCAGGGCCCCCCTTTGACTCGATCCCATGGCCCGCGTTCGATCTTTGGCGCTGGCGCGGCTGTCGGACGGGTTTGGGTTGCCGCCCACTGCGAGGGTTTGTCCCGGAGCCAATCCTTGGCCCTTTCCTCGGGTGTAAATTTTCCGCAGCGGGTGCGCAATTTATGCCTCGTGGTTTCCGCATGGATTGAGACTGGCCAACCCTCCATGCAAGAGGAATGCGTCAAGCCCACGCTGCGTTTCTGGGCGAAGAGCCCAGGTTTTGGAAGCTGCCGGATCTGATGTCTTGAGCACCGAGAAGGGAAATCCATGACCCCCATGTGGCTGTGCCTACAACATGTGGGGCGAATGCTTGCCGAGAGGCACTAAATTGAACCGCAGGTTAAGTCCTTTCAGACCTTTCAGGGCTTGGAGTTGCTTGCTTGCCTCAACAGGGATCCTTAAAGATACATTTTGCCCATTTGAAACATGGTTTTTTCCACAAAAATAATGGGAAACCACCATTTACAAGGCAATGTTCAGGTGTATAATGTAAGGATCCCTGCTCAAATGTATGAGTTCCTGCACATGCCCCTTGCCCTCAACCCTCCCCCCCCTTGCCGCCAAAAACGGCCCAGTATTGACTAGCATGTAAGACTGGGACCGTTGCCTCGGCCAACCGTCAGGCTGATGCTAAAATGAAGGGGCAAGAGGATAAAAGTGATGGCTGCAACTTCATTTGTGGAAGTGTTTGTAGAGTTTTTAAGCTTGGGACACGACGACACCCTCCCCTCCCGGACATAACCCTCCAATTGACGGAGCGAGGAGAAGGGTAGGATAGAAAAGCAGAGTGGGAAAAGACTATGCTGTTTCCTTCTCGTTCTTTGGTAGGCTGTGAATGGATTGAATGAGGGTCCAGAACAGGGTTTGAAACCATTTTGCTCCGGATCTCGAGGGTTCCCGTCAACGCACCGAGAATTGGACATGACCTTTTGTGGGATTCCCAGCTCAATGCAGCGTGCAGCGTCCACCTTTTTTGGCTTTTGGAGGAAACCCTGGAAGAAGTGTGAGTTGCACCGCCCAACGCCCTCCTTGCTTTTTCGATCCCTTGACACCATAGAACCCAGTTGAGGGTAACGCGCACCGGCGCACCATCCGGAGGAATCACAACGAACTCACCGGATAAAGCGACCCACAATGCAGGCCAGCACTTTGCCCAGCCATCTTGACACCAGCATAATGGGCGTGTCTTCTTTTAGCTAAGGGCTCCCCTCGCCGGACATTGCACAAAGCCAAAAGACGCCAAACTGTTCGCAAAAAGTCAAAAGTCAAAAAGTTTTCGAGTTTTCGACTTTTTGAGTTTTCGACTTTTTGACTTTTCGAATTTCTGGGGACTTTTCGACTTTTCGGGTAGTCCCCCCCGCTGTGGTTTGACTTTTCGACTTTTTGACTTTTCGACTTTTCGATGTTGTTTTGACTTTTCGACTTTTCGACTTTTCTAGTTTTTTTTTAAAACAGCGCGGCTGCCCTTGGCTCGAAGAGTGCGGCCTAGCCCACTGAGAAGCTCTCATGCCTTTGACTGCGACGTGCCCCTACAACTTTGCAGGCTCTGGTGGGCCCGGTGTCGCTTTTGTGGGGCGTGAAAGGCACGCGTCTCGAGCCCCACAGAGTCATCTAGTATGACTGCTCGAAGAAGAGTCCACAGATAAGCTTCAGCTCCAGAGCATCATCGGCGAGTTGGGCTTCCCCGTGTCGGCATCGCGAAGCGTGAAAGACTGGCCTGCAATATCTCTGCTTCCATCTTGGGGTGGGTGATATGGCTCTCCACCTCCCTAAACTTTCCAGTCTTTGGCGGGCGTCAGTTTTGTGGGGCGTGAGAGGCTCGTGCTCCGGAAGTTCTAGCCCGCAGTCAATCGAAAGAATCCCATGCCTTCCATCTGAGGAAAGCTGTTGATCGTTGGAGAGCGCCGCGCGGGCGCCGCCCCCTGTACGCAAAAGCAGGAAGCAAGCCGGTGTCTTTCGGTCTTTCAGCTTGTCATTTTGGGGGAGAGGGCAGGTCATTCCCTGAAGTGACATGCTTTGTAGCAAGTCGCGCCCGCCTGCAAATATGAAGCGCTTCGGCGAGAAGGATGCAGCTTGCGTTCTTTTTGTCGGTCGGTAGGCAGAAGTGGGACCCACCCAGACATGTTTTGCAGCTCGAGCCAAGGTTCGAGAATCTGGCTCTCCTCATATTGTTGTCACCGGTAACTGCCACTTTTTGACTCATCCGGAGAGTTACCGGAGTTTGTTTCTTCGAAGGCAGAGCGCTGTTGGTTTTACTTTGGCTTTCCTTGGGGTCAAGCCCTACAGGGGGGGAAATCCTGGGAAGAAAAAAACTCCTAGCCGGTCGTTGAAACGCAGCCAACCCTGGCTTGAGGCAGAGGCTCCTTCGCAGCCTGCGTGAAGTGTGTGAAGTGAGGGCGAGCGCCCGCCGTGAAAACTAGCGGGACACACAAGGTCGCTCAGCGCTCAGGATGAAAACAAGGCTTTGGTCATTTCCTTCAGAGTATCAGCAGTGCGGCTTAGCCCACTCGTGCTTGTCGGACAGAAGCCGTTTGTCTTCTTTCTGCTCCTCTCGTTTTGGAACTCCTAGTCGGATTGGAAAGGATGATTGTAAGAAAAAACGCTAGTCGGTCAAGCGGACGTTGATTCGGAGTATCGTGCTCATCGGACTGAAGCCGTTTGTTTTCTTTCTGTTCCTCTTGTTTTGGAATTCCTAGTCGGATTGGAAACAACGATTGTAAGAAAACCAGGCTAGCAAGTGCGGCAGGCGTTGGTGTGCTCAGGCCAGATTGTGCGCATGCTGGCACTGCTCTGATTGTTCGGCATCGTTGCTGTTGTCGCTCCAAGCGCAAACAGTGTAGACGCGAGGGCAAGCGCAGTCAAGTTCCCTCGATGTAGCACAGCAAGTGAACAGTCGGGCCCAACGCAGCTTACTTACAGTAATCCCGTTTCATAGTGCGGCTTAGCCCACTAACACTTGTAGCGTAGGCAGCTTACGTATCTACATTTATCCTGTTTCACAGTGCGGCTTAGCCCACTAATACTTGTGACACCGCCATGGCGTCGTCGCCAATCCAAGGCTTTGCTTTCGCCCACCCGTTTGGTCAGCGGACCGGCCTGCCTGTGGAGGTGCCGCACTGGCTCCGCAGTGACGAGACGTCCGTGTTCACCTACGGCCAGATAAGCTGCACCTTCTGGAAGGTGCATGGCGCTCCCAGGCGGCCGAGTTCATCAGCCCCCAGCTGTGCAACCCGACCAGGGAATGCGCGTATGCCTTCTGGTCGGCATGGATGCTTTTCGAGTCCGACCTTGATCTCAGCACAAGTCGCACCTTGGCCCTTGCCACTATGCGACCCCATGCGGCGCAGCTTCTGGCAGAGCTCATGCGGAAGTGTTTCGCAGCAGTGGAAGCTTCCATGGCCAGTCGTATGGCAAGCCAAGCGAATTCGGGTGTTTTGCGGGAACGGAGAAGGCGCCTTGCCCAGCAAGCCACGATGATCACGCGCCTGGAGAGCTACAGGTTCGCTCAAGTGTGGGCAGTGCGCCGATGCTTGCGCTTGTTGCTGGCTGTCCTGCGGTCCATGGTGCTGAACAACATCAAGTATCGCATCTGCTCCGATCCAGTTCAGGTGCACGTGGTTGCCACTGTTGGGAAGGTCATGACCCGAGGTGGCGTAGTCAATGTCTACGGTGACTTCACAGCCCTTCAAGCTCATGGAGTGGTGCCCAAGAATTGTATGATTTTGGTGCTGCAGGTCCAGGACTCCAGCTTTTCAGAGCTCTGGAAAGAGATCTACGAGCTGCACGGCAAGGGTGAGTTGCTGGAGTCTGCCATCGCCCTGAACCGCTACCGCCTCTGGGAGTTGGGGCAAACCTTTGCAGTGCTGCTGCACGAGACACTCTATGACAGTGAAGGTCGGCCCGCGCCACCGGATGTCTTCACGGCAAAATCCACACTAAGACCAGCCGCAGGAGTTACAGACAAGATATAGAGGTTACACAGATTTAACGGAACTTGCATCTACTTACAACTAACTTCGCAACAGATACAAACAGTTATCCGCAGGTAGTAAGTTCGCAAAAAAAAGATACAAAAAGTTAGAAAAACTTAGAAAACTTATAAAAACTTATAAAAAGTTACAAAAAGTTACGAAAAGTTATCGGAGAGCAAAAATCACACGTTGTGGTCAGCACAGAATTGCAGAAAACAAGCAGTGCCTAGATACGAAAGCGGTCGAAAAAGAGTGAAATCTTTCAAGGATCCGTCAA